TTTCTGCTGAAACACTTGGGGGGCCCTAGTGGCCCTTGAAACCCCCTTCTAAAGCCCCCAAAAGATCATAACTGTCCCTTCTTTCTAGAGGGACCCTCAAGGCCAATGGGTGGTGTGTCACCCTCATATGCCCAGCTCAAAGGCATAACCTTTCTCCTGGCATTCTTACAAGATTGACCCATTCCCACTGATATCCAGAGCCTATAGAGCCTTCCCATGTATGAATTGCTGTCATGCCCTTATTCGTTCAGTTGACCCATATTCATTGAGTCCTCAAGAGTCAGTTTGGCAGTGTGGTTAAGTAGCCACCGCCTGGCTGGTGTCCTTGGGTGAGCGTTTGCACCTTGGTGCCTCAGTTTCCCCATCTGCCACCTGGAGACAACATCAGTACCCACTTCTCAGCATTGTGAGCATTCTGTGGGTAAACCTGTGCCTGTGGTAAGCACTCTGTGGTGGCGATGGTTATTATTATGGTTATTCTATGTTACTATTACTTAGTAACGAGTGGTGAACCCAGCTGGGATGCACAGCAGAGGGCTGGAACTGGTGCCCAACAGGCATCTCTGGGGAACCCGAGAGCCTGCCACTAAGCTGCAGATTTGTTCTGAATTTCCCCTGCTGACTGAGGCAACTCTGGGTGCAGTACCACGAGAATGAAGCCATGGCTTAATCTCCTTGACAGACGTCCCACCTGCTGGTGCTGCAGTTGCACTGGTCCTGTATCTACTGCCTCATTTTGTCTTTTCATCACTCAGGTTGAAGGGGATGGGAGTGGGGGCTCCCCTTCCACTGGGCATCCACCCAGGCTCTCTTTGGCCAAAGTGCCCAGTAAGGGTGGTTGAGGTCCAGATCTTACTTGCTCTTTGGTCTGTACCCACTGGCTACTTAATCTCAGCTCTCTGGCTATGGCTGTCTGATTTGTTCCAGGTGGATAATTACTTTACTAACGTCGAGATGCCAGAGGGGTGAGGGAGGTTAAAGAAAGGGTCAGATGGTAGATGTGGGACAGAAAAGAGCAGGGTTGTTACGAGCCCGGCGCTGGGAGTCAGGCAGCCCGAGCTGGGCTCCCTCTACTGCTTACCAGCTATGATCCTAAGCAAATCCCTCCCTCTCTCAACTCCTCAGTTTCCTGTTCTGTGAAAAGGGAATAACAAAAATGCCCTTCTCATAAGGTATTTGAAGGGCTTAAAGCAGATGACATATGCCAAGAGCTCAGTGCATACCTATCCTCAGCATTTCAAGAGTGTGAGCTGTTTCTCACACAAGGGGTAATAATGAACAGATCTTTCTGTGCAAATTGCAAATTACAGGAGGAAAGCGAAAAGTTGCTGTTTCCTGCTGTCTGCAGGTCAGATGGTTTTTGGGCTTGGGAGTCTGTGAATATAAGAGCTAAGGACAGGATCAAGCCAAGACCCGTGTGTGTGTGCCCCTGTGATTTATTTATCTCTCTGACCGGCCAGTGGGGTCCTTCAGAACAGGACCTGGCACACAACAAGTGCTCGCATAGTGCTTGGTGGATCCGTGAATAACAAGCAACAGTGACAGTCCCAGAGACCCCATGTGTGTCCAGTATTTAACATCCGTGAAATCCCAGTTACTCACTGCTCTCCCAAGCTGCCAATAAGGCCAATGCACAGGATGTATTTTTTCTGTTCCACTCTATACAAAATATACAACAAATGTATTAATTCCTGTCCCCTTCTCTCTGGCAGACCCTTGGCGTAATTGTCCCTCAATAGAAAGAATATTTCTGTTGATTTGGCCAAGTGGTAGATCTGGAGAGGTTTTCAAGATAATTTCTAGTTAATTGGTTCTTGAGAAATCTGCAAGGACTCTTCTGGGTTTGCAGACCAGACTCCCCCCTTCATTAAATTGGTTTTCAATTTGCAATCCCCTGACAGGTCTGAGCACGGTGCCTGCTCCTCACCTTCATCCAAAGCCGCTGTGCCCCATGGTGTGGGAAGGGATAGGGATTTGTGGGGACAGGGGAAGGTCAGGGGCCACTTGTCTCCATGAAAAGCCTGTGTCATTCCCCCCAGTATGAAAATACTAATTGTCCTTTGGGCTCCAGCCTTTGGGTTCTGTGAAACTCAAAATGAATGCATCAAATTAATTGTGTGCTCCCCTTGCTCAGGCCGATTAGCATAAATTAAATTTCACACTAATTGGCTAAGGTGGAGAGAACACAATCCTGGTGCTTGGAATTAATGCTGATTTCAAGGATGGTGGTTAGGGGTGTGACCTGGGGCATTCCTGGATTGCACCGCCCTTTATCCTGTGGCCAGTGCAAATCAGCACTCTTGCAGCAAGAATGATCTTGCACAGGTAACCAAATTTAACCCCTCCAAATCCAAGTGAGAGGCCAAAATTAAGAGAAGATCCTGGCAGTTTCTAGGGCAGTAATTCTTACATTTTATCGTGCATAAAAATCACCCTGGAGCAGGTTGAAATGTAGATTCCTGAATTATGCTTTAGAGATCCTGGTTTAGGGGTCTGAGAGTCCTATAATTTGCATTTTCTTTATTTTTTAAGAGACAGAGTCTCACTCTGTCACCCAGGCTGGAGTGCAGTGGTGTGATCATAGCTTACTGCAGCCTAGAACCCCTGGGATCAAGTGATCCTCCCGCCTCAGCTTCCAGAGCAGCTGGGACTATAGGCACACACCATCTCAGCTGGCTAATTTTTAAAAACTTTTTTGTAAAGCCAGGGTCTCGTTATGTTGCCCAGGCTGGTCTTGAACTCCTGGCCTCAGGTGATCCTCCTACCTCAGCCTCTCAAAGCACTGGGATTAGAAACATGAGCTATCATGCTCTGCCCTAGAATTTGCATTTTAACAACTATCCGAGATCATTGCCACATAAGGACTTCCCTGGTGCACAGTGTAAGGAACAGCAAGAGAAAGCTCCATGCTGGAGACAACCAGGAGCACCCTAGGAGAGTCCCTCATTAATTAACTGGAGGTCCTGACTTGGATCTGACTGGTCTGAGTTCAAAATCTCAGTTCTGCCATTTACGCGTGATGTGACTTTGCAGTGCTTCCCCCAAGCCGCCTTTCTCCTCTGTGTCTATTAAAATGTGCATTTTGGTCTCAGCAGTTGGTGATGCGGTCAACAGGGTGGGAAGCAGATGGGCTGGAGAAGTGAAACAGATGGGGAGCATGGAATGCACAGAGCAGCCTCAGATTTTGGGTTTTTTTTTTTCACTCTTTTTGAAAGATATTTTGTTTTGTTTTCTCATTACAAAATCAGTTAAAAAAAAAAAAATACAGAAATGCATCACAAGAAAATTGGAGTTCCCTGTGATCCCATCATCCTTCCAGAAAAAAAAAAAAAAAAAAAAAAAATCCCAATTAACAGTTTGGGAGTGCTTTGTTCTGTGCAAACAAAAATGAGATGACACCAAACATTCTATTGTGCAAATTTGCCTTTTTTTCCCCTTTGGCAATATTTCTTGGGGATATTTATTTTTTTATGTCAGAACATAGATCTGCATCTTCCTTCTTCATGGGACAGCTGAATAAATTTTGAGCCTGCCTAAGCTACCAAGAGAGGCTAGCTCAGGAAGGGCAGCTACATTGCTCATGGTAAGAACTATTTACCTTCTCAGTAAAAATAATGCAGAGTTGCCCCTAAATATCAGTCATGATGCAGAGGGTCCGATGAAAGAGTGAGGCGTTCTAACATCTTCACATGCAAAATTTGCAGCAAGAGGACATGTGACCACACCTAATTCAATGCATTTTACAGCTCAAGTGACTAAGGCTCCGGAGCAGGAGGGATCGTCCAAGGTGTTAGTTGTTGAGCCTGGACTCGAACCTTGCACCCTACCTCTTTCTTTTCTTACAATTCTGCTGCCTCCCATAAGAGGTTTCTCTGCCTCTTAACCACAAACACTCCACTCATATATTTCTCCCCTACGTATTCTGCCATATCCTCAAACCCTGAATGCTTCATTTTGGAACAGTAATGCCACAGAAGCCCTGTGGCATTTGGCATCGGTGGCTCGTCAGTTAATCAGAAAAAAAAAAAATTCAGTGCAGCTGGGAATTCGTTTAAAAAATTCTATTTTAAAATTAATTACATGTATAATTGAAATCACTGCATTTCTGAGGCAGGACCCATTGATTTCTTTCTTTCTCAAACCACACTCGTAATATACAACTGTATGATTTCCAATTGTGGCTTCTTTAAAACAGAGCAAATGGGAAAGTAATTTGAATACAAAAACCTAATTTTTTACTTCGACTTTCTCTTTAGTTGTTGCAATGCCTATTTGGCAGCATTTTCTAAAAGCAGCTTACCTTTATTAATTCGTTCCGAGGCATTCAACCTAGTTTTCATGGAAACTCTGTCCAGCTATATTCTATAAGTTTATGTAGTAGCGAACGGAATAGATAGCTACGGTAAAAATGCAATAGGCAAAAACAGTTTGGGAACACACACACTGATGCTGGATGTGCATGCTGTCACCTGCTAGGGGCAGATGGGCCATGGAGAATTGTAGAGAGGTAGTCTGGCGGAGAGCATTCTGGTGCTGTGGGTATCCCTCAGTGTGTCTTACTGAGGGACAGTGTTGGTACATCCGGTGAGATGATTTGCTAAAAGCTGGTTACAAAGAGATTCCACTAAAATGGCCATGTTTAAAACTGAGCACTTACTACATGCCAGCCACTGTGCTGAGCTTTCAATAGATTATCTCCTTGAATCCTCAAAATAATGACGTAAGTTGTTTTTCCCCCTTTAAGTCTGAGAAAACTGAGAACCAGCAAGGCATCCTGCTTGGTGTAAAGTTACACAGCTAGTGAGTGTTGGACCAAGAGTTCTACCACATCAAGACCAATAAAATTCTGAAGTCCATCCTTTTAACCACTTGATTATACTTAAGGGTTGTTTTCCCATGAGAGCTGGTGATTTGTCCAAAGGTGGTCCTGTGCATGGGGAGAGAAGTGTTGGTGGCTCCACTGAGTGACCCTTCCTTGATCGCCCCATTCCCCGTCCCAGATTGCTGACTTGACCACTGAGCTGGCTGATGAGCGCTTCAAAGGTGATGTGGCCTGCCAGGTGCTGGAGAGTGAGCGGGCAGAGCGGCTACAGGCCTTCCGGGAGGTCCAGGAGCTCAAGGTGAGTGGTCAGGGGTGGCCAGGGGTGGCTGAACACGGTGGCTAAAAATGGTTGGGTCTGTCCCCCGACCCTCTCATTGGGGATCAGTATGCTTAAGCAAGATGCACAGATTGACTGACTGCTGGGCTCAAGGTCCTCGGGGACACTTAGGTCTCCTAAGGCTTGGCCTTGGGAGTGTTATGGGTGGATAGTCCCTGGCTAGAGAGGCAAATAGGAGAGGATTGTGTAGAAGGTGGACAGTCTTTGGCCTTGGAGGTGATTTGGTGAGAAATGTGCCAAAGGTGGCTAGCTCATGGTCCTGGATTCTACATGGCTCAGGGGACTGTGCAGAGGGTGGCCAATCCGAGCCTTGGAAGCACCATGGGTAAGATGACCAGCCCAGGTCTTCTGTCCAGCTCCAGTTTGGACCTTGAGCCATTTCTTCTAGAGCAAGCATGAACAAGTCCAGAAAAAATTGGGAGACGTGAATAAACAGCTGGAAGAAGCCCAGCAGAAAATTCAGCTGAATGACTTGGAAAGGAATCCTGCTGGAGGAGGTGAGCAGCCTGGGACCCTTGGGGCTGGAAGCTGATGGACAAAGTTGTCTTTTCCATTTATTCAGTCACTCATAGATAGAGCACTTTTTAGGTGCTAGATATTGCATGAGGGACTGCGACTCTGGCAGAGCAAACAGGCACAGTGTTACTCTCTTGGAACTTACAGTCTAATGGAATAAGCAGATATTGATCAGACAATCTAGCAATATCCTAGATGGCAAATTATCCGTATGATATGTGCATTTAGTTTTAATGCAAATAATGATTTTAAAATAGTGGCTTTATAGGCAAGGTACTTTTATATTTACGTGAATATTTTGAAAATAAATTTTGAGAGGCCTGGCGTGGTGGCTCACACCTATAATCCTAGCACTTTGGGAAACTGAAGTGGGAGGATTGCTTGAGCTCTGTAGTTTAAGACCAGCCTGGGCAACATAGTGAGACCCCATTTCTACAAAAAATTTTAAAATTTAGCCAGGTGTGGTGGCCTGCGCCTGAAGTCCCAGCTACTTGGGAGGCTGAGGTGGGACGATCGCTTAAGCCTGGGAGACCTAGGCTGCATTTCAGCCTGGGTGACAAAGCAAGACTCTGTCTCAAAAAAATAAAAATAAAAATAGAACATAAATTTTGAGGAAGGCAATCTAGTGGTTAAAAGTTGTATTTCTATGAAGTTGTATTTCTGGATTTAGATTTTGGGGCAAAGAAATTGTGCCTCAGTTTCTTCCTCTTTCAAACGGAGATTGGCTTGAATAATTGATAGAAAATGTTTAGCCACATATGTAGCATGGAGTGATGAATAGCTAATAGCTGCTTTACCGTTATTATTATGAGGAATAATGAGATCATAGTCCATCCTTATAGCAACCTGCAGAACAGAAACTTCAGCTGTCCCCATTTCCCAGAGGGTAAAGCAGTGTCAGACACTCAACAGTTACTGAGCGGCGAGAAGGCAAGGGGACTCTTGGTTTTACCCAGGGATGTTATACATTTGTTCAGTCCTGCCAGGAGTTTCTGGGGGTGTCCTTCTTACACAGTTTCCTGGAGACTTTGTGATTAGATGGCCCGGTTACATCTTTGCCAGCTTGTCACTGTGCCTCCCCAGCCTAATGGAGTTGGGTGAGAAGGATATCAAGTGGGTCAGCTTCTATGAAATGTTAGCATTATTCCCTCCGTGTGTCCAGGTAATTTGTGCCCTTGAAATGTCAGGGACACTCAGAGGAATGGAGATCAGGGGTCTGTGGAGAAGAGACAATGCGTATTTATTTTCTGTTGAATTCTTGTTCTTCTTCCATCCTGGCTACCCCCGTGGCAGGCATTTAGCGGGGAGGTTAATACAGATGAGTTTGAGGCTCTCTTAAAAGCAAGACCCAACAAGGTAGGGTATACATAGGGAGAGGGGAACATGTTGGTATAGAATCAGTAGGGTGGGACAATCTCTGGCCTTGGAGGTAATTTCTAAAAAATCCCCAGAGGAATGCCAGTGTCAGTTCCATCTGCGTGAGATTCATGTCCAAATAATGCTTCCCAGTTTGTTTTCCTCTGTTAAGACTGGGGTGTTAATGAGAGGGGGACATGTGCTTAGCTCATGAGCACATTAGTCACAATGCTATGTGGGCTCTCAGCTCTGGATGCTCATTCCAAGAAGCCAACCCATAAATATTTTGTTTTTCATTATGAAAGTAATACATACTCATTATAGAAAATGTCTAAAATATAGGAAATTTGAAAGAAGCAGTAAAACATTTTAATCATATCATTGCAGTGGTACCACAACCATCTCTGTGGTTCAAGATGGAGTATGAATTATTTAAAAAATATGTTTTCCTTTATGCATGGCTAAATATTTAAAGAGAACCTTTTATGATATGCACTCAGCACTGAGCTGGACACTGTGGGGGTTACAGAGGAATTTTAATTGGGCCCTGCTCTCAAGATATTTGCAAAATAAATGGGGAGATCAGGTAAACTCAGGAAAACACGTTGATTAAGGGTGGCACTCATGGGCAGGGAGATTGGAGGTAGAGATGAGCCTTGAAGGAGAACAGTTTCCCCTATTGTTCGTGTTGCCCACTCATGCCACTTGCTCTATAGCACATCATGGCACAGAGTACCTGGGAAGCTGCAGAAATACTTTCTGCTGCTGCTTCTTACTTTTGCAGGCCATGCTGCTTGTGATTGTGAGGCTTTTCCTGGTGGAGAGATAGTGTACTTTTCCCATCATGATGTTTGTACCTTGGTCGAAGCTTGAACAAGCTTTAACTCTTTATTATTATACCATCCTTCCTTTGGTTAATGATGTAGAAATCTCTATTGAGGTCACCTCTTTCAAGAACTTAATCCTACCATCCATCTATCTATCCATTCATCCATCCATCCATCCATCCACCCATCCATCCATCCATCTACCCATCCATCCATCTACCCATCTGCCCATCTACTCACCCACCTATCCATATATCCTACCATTTATTTATCTCTCAATCCGCGCATTCATCCACCCATGCACCCACTTCTCTGTCTACAGTAACATCCATCCATCCATCCATCCACTATTCCACCTACACAACCAACTATTTATCCATTAATCCTCCACCCTATCATCTAGTCAAACATCCTATCCATTCAATTATCCACCTTTCCAGTGGAAGTTATCGAGCATTTACCAAATGCTAGGCATTATAGGATACTCTGGCAACACAATGATGAACAAAACAAATTTGTTGTCATATTAATTTGAGTTCTCCTCTTGATTTCTATAAGCTTCCTTATGAAAGCCCTGATTATACTAGGTTTCAGCTGTCTTTTTACTTGTTTCCCCTGCTTGTTTATTCTGGAAGGTAGGTGGATATGGCTTCTTATTCATTTCACTATCCCTTGCATCTTGTACAAAGTAGTGTGCTCAATGAGTGTGTGAATGGATGGACGGAAGGACAGATGGATGGATGATAGGTGAATAAGTGGGTGGTCTTTATCTTTGGTCATCCACTTGTGGAATGTTTTCCACAGCTTCACTAACTTAATGGGCATTATTCTACTATTCAGATAGTCAAAAGATAAGGCATATCAACCTAAAATAACCCATTCTAATCAGTCTAACAGTTTTAATCAAACCAGCCAATAATTTTTTTGAGATGTTTACCAAATCAAAGGATTTGGTATCCATCTTATCTTGTGGAGACATCTTCTGACCAGTTTAGTAGTCTTGAATTATTGCTAATTTATTTATTTGTTAATTGGACCAACAGCCAATGATTATATACTCTGTACAACCCAATAAATTTGGCTAGTAGGATGACTCTTTTTACCTGATTATTGTATTAGGTTCATTAAGCAATCCATGAGCTTGTATCAACATGTACGGGAATCTGCTTGTAGGGAACTCTTCCAGAGGGTGTGAAGGACTCACAGATGACTGAAACAGCTCCCTTGCCCTTAAGGATTATGAAATTCCTTGGAAAAGGGAAGATATGAATGTACTTATAGAAACAACTAAACAGTATAAGGCAACCAACCTTAGAAGAGTGAGCAGTCAAGAACTTTAGACGGTTGGAGGTGGTCAGGACAGGCTGCCTGAAGGAAGTGTTATTTAAAACTCAGAGTTAAAGCATAGTTTCTTGGTCCAAGGTTGAAGCTCAGGGGCTCTGTGAATATTGTGCAATTGCATGCCAAGAGCCAAGAAAGTGGAGGAGAGCCACTCTCACTCTTGCCTTACACTCATTTGGCCTCTTATCCTGGTCTCCCTGACTCCGTTAAACAGCAGACGAGTGGCAAATGCGCTTTGACTGTGCTCAGATGGAGAACGAGTTCCTCAGAAAGCGTCTGCAGCAATGCGAGGAGAGGCTGGACTCGGAGCTGACAGCCAGGAAAGAGCTGGAGCAAAAGGTAAGATGTGGGGCTGGGCCACAGAAGTGTCAGAGAGTGGGCAGGTCCTCACCTCCACTGTGGGTGATCGAGGTATTAGCTGACCCTGGGGAGGGAGGAAGAGGATACCAGCCACTTCAGGTTTTTCCATCTCCACTGTTATTACAAATGCTGGTCACTGGGAGACATGAAAAATATTGTCTGTACATGTGGATCTTCTATCCAGAGACTGCTCTGTGGTGTAAAGAACATGGATATTAACTCAGGATATCTGAGTTCCAGTTCCATTTCTACATGAACCCTGTGGAAGTCACTTTAACTCATATTTCTTATCTATTACATAATTATCAGTGGTCTTAAAACTGTCACATTTCCCTGTTGCCTCTATTCTAATCTGCTACCTTCATCTCTCATCCAGACCAAAGCAACAATCTCCTAGCCGTCCTCCTTGCCTCTGGCCTCTCCTGTCAACCACCTGCCACACTGCAGCCAAGGAATGTTTCAGAGTCTCTTTCAGATTGTTCTATGATCATAAAGTATGCTGACTCTCATGGTGGATTTTTTTCCTTGCGTGTTTTGTAAATTTTGTTTTTGAGCTCATCTTCAACAGGTTTCTCTGCTCCTCCCGCAGTAGTCCCAGGTGTTCTGCATTGTGGAATGTTTTTTTTTTGTTTCTCTCCCAGTGAATTTTTGTGTGTGTATTTAGCTATTTTTTATCATGAGTAATCTTCAGCAAGAGATTTAATTTTTTTAACATTCTATTGATTTTGATGGGAGCCCTTTGATAACAGGGTCGTGGGTGTGTTCTGCTAGAAGAAACCCTTTTTCACTTTCTTTGGCAGCAGTCCCTGAGATAATGCTAAATTCTTGGTCTCAGATTTTTTGCAGCATGTAAAAATTGTTAATTGGATCTCTAAACCCACATGAGGCTTAGACCTGAGGTTTAAAATTCTTATGAGAGTACTTCTTCTGCCACCTAGATCCAGGGTGAAAGCAAGCTTTCTTACCACCTTCCAGGCCAGGATGTGGAGCTTTTATTCTCTCTTCTCACTGAGGTGCATGCAGTTCTTTGAGGGGTTTGTCAGTGCAACGATCTTCTTTCCAACTCTTCACCTTCCATGAGCCCAGAGCCTTGTCTTCTGTCTCTGTCTAGACATTGAAACACAAACCTCTATCCTAAAGGACATTTCTGGATTTATCAACTGTTCTTCCCACTCATCTTGGCCGCCATAATATTAGTATGCACCATTATTGTTAGGGCTTTGCATCCTCTGCATTTCTGATATCCTGAAATGTCCTTCTTTCTTGAAGGTGACATTACAAATCTAATGCAATCTTATCTATATATAATATAATCTTATCTAGCCTTTCTAGATGAATGTACAGATAGTTTGGTCTCTTTGCTTGCCTTCTGTGGCCTCCAACTATCCCTCATCTACATTCTAACCAGTTCACACTCTAACAAATTGTGTGCTAAATGACTCCAGAAAAAAGAAAAAGCCCTGATTTGTAGCACTTGCCAATTTCCCTGGTGTAAATACTCCCACCATGGCCAATTTCAAGCTACCATTGTGATGTCACTAACATGGAATTTGAAAGGGATGCACAGAATTGGCTCTGTGCATCTCTTTCAAATTGGTACCAGCCGACTCCAGCACAGCATTGATTCCAGCCACACTCCGTTTTTTTTTTTTCTCCTTCCAAAAATGTCTGATTCTTTCTCACCTCTGGGACTTTGCATATGCTATTTCTTCTTCCCAGAGCAATCTTTCTTTTTCTCTCCTGCCTAGATATCTCCAACTATTCTTAAGATCTTAGCTTAAATGTCACTCTCTCCAGAAAGTCTTTGCTGACGCAGATTGAGTTGGGAGTCCCTGAGTTGTCTCCCAAAACATAGGCCTCATCATGCTGCACTGTAATTGCCTACTCACTTCATAGTCTCTCCCATTCGATATAGGAGTCATAGGATGGAGGTTATATTTGTGTATCTATTCTATTCTCAACGTGAGCAAAAAGTATCATGTGATTGCCTTGCCGAGGTGGGCCTGGGTGAGATCACATGGGATTTTATAAACAATGGAAGTGACTCTTGATATCCTCTATGCTGGTGGTGATGGTTTCAGTGGTCACTTTCAAGATGAACATTGCATCGTGGTCCTCAAGAGACACTTGAACCATAGATAAACACAGATGGACAACTGCAGGAAAGCAGCCCAGTTCTTTAATAACAAATTACAAAGTTGAGTCAGTTTCCCTAGGGAAGGGGGATATTTATGATACATTAAAAAGTAATAAAACTGCAACCTTTTCTGAGCGGCAGAATATAAGAAAACATCCCATTTGCCTTCAAATACTGAATTTAGAATTACAGGCTCCATTAACTCAGAGTTTTGCTTATTTAAAGCAATTCTGTAATGAGGCCATTTCTTCAAAGCCAGTGTGCTGAGTTGCATGCTCTGCTCTTTCCCAGACCTAAACTAGGACATTTGGGAGAGTGTTTCCTGGAGGAAAATGCAAGAGTCTTTACGTTTGTTTGTTTAAGGCTGTGTGCATTCAGGTGTTAACTCAGTCCATGCAAAGTGCCATTTGCTGCTTTAACCTTTAAGGCTTGTCACTTGGGATTCCAGGTCAGATTTTTTAGGTGTGTCATGTTGGCTGCTCTGTGGCTAATCCTCATATATCCTTTCTGATCATGTCGGCTGGTGGGGATATGAGTTATCTGGTGGCTCAGGGGATCATCAAGTTGAGGCAGGGTAGGTAAAGTCTGTAGGAGCATTGGCTGGAGATTTAAAGTAAAATCAACCTTAAGAGAGTGATGGAATTATCCCCACTTTACCTCTGGGCAAACTGAGGCTCAGAAAAGTAGCATCCTGGAGGTGGCCCAGGAGGAAGGTAGTCAAGACAGGGTCTCCCCATTCCAGCATCTGCTGTTTTCTCATTACACACCTTGGAAATAGCAACTCCTTGAAATACAAAGTAAAAAGCGCATTCCACGCCCACAGAGCCAGGTAATTCATTCTATTACTCTTACAGCTTGGGGAGCTGCAAAGTGCTTATGATGGGGCCAAGAAGATGGCTCACCAACTGAAGAGGAAGTGCCACCATCTTACCTGTGACCTGGAGGACACCCGCGTCCTGCTAGAGAACCAACAAAGTCGAAACCATGAGCTGGAGAAGAAGCAGAAGAAGTGAGTTGCATCCCTCACCATCACCTGGGCTGCCAGGGTGGGCTACATTGGAGCTGGGGTCTTCTCGGGTATCCAGGTTCTCCTTCTAACTCCCTCACTTCAACTCTCTTGTTTTGCTCTAATCTTCCTTCCTGTCCCCTCACACCTTATTCCTGTATGGGTCTCCCAAGAATCCAGCAAGAAATGATTCTTTTCTCTTAGCCAGCCTCAGCTATGTTGCCAATTGACCATGTGACCTTGGGGAGCTTTCTTTGCCTTTCTGGGCCTTAACATCCCCATTTGTCGAGCGAAGGGTTTGTTGCGGAGGGTCAAGACAGCATGGTGATTTGGAGCCCAGGTATTGATGCTAAAGTCATCTCATTCAAGTCCTGAAGGTGCCTCTTTCTAGATGTGTGACCTTGAGCAGGTCATTCAGCCCTTCCCAGCCAAATTCCTTACCCGTAGGCTGGGGATAAGATCGCCCCCTTGTGGTGAGGACTGAATGATGCAGTCAGTACATCTAAGTGGACTGATCCTGGTTCCTATTTCCATTGGTGAAAATTGGGCTAGAGAATATGACCAAAATATGGCCTTCTCATTTAGGATTTGGACTCTCAGATCATATGAGCCATTCTGGTAGAGCTGGGCCTTGTGCACCAGCAAGATGCTAATCTTGAATCTGCACAGTGTGGTTCCCATAACTTGCGTTCCCGTTGGGTTGCTGTTACAACGGAGTGATGGTGGAGCCTGGATTTGTACCCAGATTCGCACACTCATAGGCTTCTTCATGCAAAACCTCAGAACCTGTGATGCTTGGACATCTTGGCTGTGTCTGAAGTTCTCCAGCTCACTCGGTGAGGGTAAAGGTATACAGGGGTCCTGTTTTGAGCCAGCCAAGACCTAATGGAGATGTCACAGAAGGCAAATAGGTGGGAAGCAGCCTCTTTTAGAAGGCCCATGATAAAATACAGACAAATGTTCCTGCGTGAGCCAAGATGTGATTTTGTGGAAACTGCCTCCTTTCCAAGAAGTAGGAAGCAGAATTATATTTCCATGGAGGTGGCATAGATTTTGAACTTGATCTGCATTAAATATCATTTCTCTTATTTATCCTTCAGCTTTCCTGAGTTGGCTTCTTCATCTGAAAAAGGTCTTTGGGGGATCATTAGCTTGCTCTCCACCCCCAAAATAAGAAAGGCTTATTTTGCGTTTATTGATATATCACTCTGTTCCCCTTTCCACCTCCCCATGGGTGCTCTGGCTGAACCTTACCCTTGCAGTAGGGAAAATGGCTTGGCTCCATCTTGGCCACCTGCTGTGTGACCTTGGCAAATAACACCATCTCTCTGGGCCAGAGAGTGACTGATGTTTCAGATGAGTTCTTGGACTTAACATGTCATCTGATCTCGAAGAATGAGTGACATATACCCCTGTCTGTGAAACAAGAGGTTTGGACTCCATCATTCCCCAGGTTTCTCCCCACTGTAACCCTCTTGGCCCCTAACTATGGGTTCTACTCCTGTTCTGAAAGGCCTAACAGAGGATTTCAGCTCTCTGATGAGGAAGGGGCCAGCCTCTGGAATTTGCACAGCCAGAAAATTCCATCTTTCTGGTCTTTCCTTTTCCCGTTGGACAGAATCCCTCATTACAGGGACTTATGAATCTCCTCAGGATACCCCCAAGGAAACTTCCTATTTCTTCATATTTGTATGTCCTCCTCTCAAAACTTAGCTTTCTTGTGATGCCCTCTGCTCTGTTACCATCTCTTGGCAGAAGCTAATTTATGTTTTGATGGTGCAGATAGCAGGCATTACCTTTCCAGGTAGATTAGCATTTATGTCTCAGTCTAACTGTGGAAGTTCGGGCAGAATGATTATGGTGAAGGAAAAGTCTAGAAGTCAGTAAATAATTCCTTGCATCTCTCAATGCTTAATCGAAATGTAGATGCAGCTGCCTCCTGAGTTTGCTGGGCCCAGGACAGAGGGATGTCTCCCCATTGGTAGAGTTCTCTGTTTGCCACTTTGGCTTCTAAGTTCAGAGTGGCCTGGAATGGTTTCATTTTGGTTGGATTGTTTGTGGCATGATTACCCTATGGGTCACAAAGCTTGGTTCTGAGGGCTGATGAAACCCCAGGTAAGCCCTGGCTAGACTCACTGGCTCCCACACTCAAGGGAGGCTGGACCCAAGGCCCTTTCTTAGCAGGGTGAAGGTTGTATGCAGATCTCTCTGACCTCAGGTGATTGGCTGGTCAGTGTGAGCTGTTTGGTAGGAGTTGGGGTCTGTAGTAGCTACTCTTTGGCATCAAGTGGCCTGTTAAGTCAAGGACTCCTCTACACCATCAGTTACTGTCTGGCCCCCACTGTCTTCCCTCACCTGTCCCAGGAACGGACAGGTAGATGGGAGACTAGCTAAGACACTAGGGAAGCTGAGCCCAAGTCCACTTCCACCACTTTGGAATTTGGGGCCAAATCACTCCTCCTCTCTGAACTTCAGTTTCCTCCTCGGTGAATGGATTGAATGACATGTTTCTTGCTGAATTGTTGTAAGAACGACATGGATCCCAGCCCAGGATCTGGCACACTGGGACGGCCGGATCATCACGCTCATCACAATGCTTCCATTCAGAGGCAGCAAATAGTGCCCTTTGGATGATGTCACCAACAGCCAATCAGAAAGCTCCTGAGCTGTTCCAACAGGAGGGCTCCCTTATGATTGGGTCTCTCAGGAGTCTGAGACTTTGAGTGATAGTCTAATATTAAGGGACATTGGATAATCTTATAACAAGGGAGATTTTCTTGTCACCAAAGGCCAAACCCCATGCCCACTTCTGCCATATCAAGATCTCTGGAGCAATGGGACTTCCTGTTTGGGCCAAGGGCAAGTGACTCAAAGTCACACCTTACTGAGGCTTGGCAAGGGCTTCTCTATTGGTTTCCTCATCTGTGATACTGCCAGGAGGCTGAGACAACTGAACAGAGTGACGTAACATCCAGGAAGTGCTTCTCACCCAGTGGTCATCACAGAAGGGCAGGAGGGCCCCTAACAGGGCGTTAATTCCCTGGATGACATTCAGTAGGACTGACTAGTCTTTGTGTTTTCTGCTTGAGAAACAAATGAGGACAAGAATGTATAAATGTCCATCATTTTATCAATAATCAGCATGCTTTAGTATGGCATAGGAGAGTATAAGCCAGACAATATGTTAAAATGTGAAATGTAGAATAGCCTCATTCTACTTACATCCATTTGTTTGTTCACTGGTTAGGAAATAGTGGATGTCAAATGGGACCTGATAGATTTAAGGGGCCTTGACATAGACTGGCAGACCAGGTAGATCAGGTTTTTTGTTTTGTTTTGTTTTGTTTTTCTGAGACAAGGTCTTGCTCTGTCACCCAGGCTGGAGTGCAGTGGCACAATCATGGCTCACTGCAGCCTTGACCTCCTGGGCTTAAGTGATCCTCCCACTTCAGCCTCCAGAGTAGCTGGGATTACAAGTGCATTCCACGATGCCCAGGTAATTTTTAATTTAAAATTTTTAAAATTTTTAAATTTTAAAAATAGAGATGGGGTCTCACTTTGTTGACCAGGCTGGTCTTTAACTCCTGGCCCCAAGTGGTCCTCCTACCTCGGCCTCTCAAAGTGTTGGGATTACAAGCGTGAGCCACCGTGCCTGGCCATTTTAAAAAATATATCCTTTATATCTGTATATAGTTTTATTCTATGTTCATTTTTGTCTATGTATTTTTATTAGATTTTAGGGTTAGCATGTAGATTAGCATTTTAGTAGGGAGCTGATGAGGGCAGCAGAAATTTCAGTCTAACGGTGGAAATTCAGGCAGAATGACTCTGGCGAGGGAGGAATCTAGAATAATAAGTTCAAGTATTTTTGTGGCAACTCTATCTAAACCCTAAAAATTGCCCTGTGATTTTTCAGATTCCCATCCTACATCCACAGCCTTACGTAAAAGCATTGAGAAAAATTTCCAACTCCTCATTCTTTTTTTCTCTTTCTTCTTCCTTTCGCTGTCTTTCTCATGGTTCTTGGGAAACTAGTAGCCTCTCTGCAGCCCCTCCCTGCCCCTGCCTCAATCACTCCCCTACCCACCTGCCTACAGAGCCCTGACACGTGTTCTGCTTTGGACAGATTTGACCTGCAGCTGGCCCAGGCCCTAGGTGAGTCTGTGTTTGAGAAGGGTCTCCGTGAGAAAGTGACCCAGGAGAACACCAGTGTCCGGTGGGAGCTAGGCCAGCTTCAGCAGCAGTTGAAGGTAAGGGATAGGGGACACAGAGCTGTCTTGGCTCTTGGTGGCTGAATCTCAGGAAACTCCAGCGTACACCTGCTGCAAATGGTGACAGAGAGAAGACTTCACAAGGGTATCCTGGTCTGTCAAGCAGCTGGGTCCCAGTGTGTCTTAATAAAATAGCAAACAGTGGCTGGCAAATTGATAATCAGCCTTTATTTGAGCAATCTTGATGTCTTGATCTTGCTCCAGTTACCTGCACAGGTTCCGAGGTGCTTACCTGGGAGGTATGACAGGCTCAGCAGAGAATGAGTTAGCTATAACTTTGTCCAGGAGCAATGCCCTGGTCCATGCAGGCTCCAATGCAGAGAGATTTTACTAAAATACAGCACGGGTGCCTCACTCAGCTGCTCCTCATCCTTTTGTGGTTCTCTACTACTCGCAGGAGAACCTCTGGGCACTTTGGCCTGGCATTCAGCTCCTTCATGATCTAGCCAAAAGTTATTTGATCCTGGAGCTGACTTTCTAACCTGGAAGAGTCATTTCTGAGCACTTTGCCTCCCTGCTCCAACATCTCAATCCCAGCCTCAGAAGGCACACAGGGAAGCTTTAGCTATGTGCCTCCACTTCCCTTACAAATGGGGTCAACCCATCTTGTAGGTGCTCTGAGATTGAACTCTAGGGACAATCTACTCCAATCCCACCTCCCATCCCCATCTCCATGCCTGTGTGAGCAGTACTGAGAGCAGCCCTTGCTGGTGTCCCACAGGGGGCGCTGTGAGGGGCCGTGCAGTCCAGGTGGAGACGGCAGGCACTGGAAAGTGGAAAGCGCCACTCCAGCCCCAGTTGACTGTAGAGGTATCTCTGGGGCAGGAGGGAGACATACTCATGCAACTCCGGACCTCTGTCCTCTTTGTCTCTGTAGCAAAAGGAGCAGGAAGCCTCGCAGCTGAAGCAGGAGGTGGAGATGCTACAGGACCATAAACGGGAGCTGCTGGGGTCACCCTCTCTGGGGGAAAATTGCGTTGCTGGCTTGAAGGAGAGGCTCTGGAAGTTGGAATCCAGTGCCGTTGAGCAACAGAAAGTCCAGAGCCAGCAGGAAAACACCATCAAGCAGCTGGAGCAGGTAGGAAAGCCCTTCCCAGGGCAACACCCTGTCCCGTGTCTCCAATGCAGAATGATGTTATTAAAATACGACATGGGTGCCTCACTTGACTGCTCCTCATCCTTCAGTGGTTCCCTTTTATCCCAGGGAACTTTTAAGCTCCTAAGTCTGACATTCAGATCCTTCCTGATCCAGTTTTCTTCTGCAAGGTTCAGTGTCACCTCCTCAGAGAAGCCTGCCTTAATCACCTTGCAAATCGCTCCCACTATGTTGCATTCATTTCCCATCTCCTTAGCTGGGTTGCTTTCCTTTGTGGTACCTGCCATCATATTAGATAGTATGTTTTAAAAGTTTGCTTTATGCCTTTCTCTCTCATTAGGATATAAGCTTCCTGAAGTCAAATTGTTTTTCTGTTTCTCTGGCTTCTTACTGTAATCCTAGAGCCTAGAATGAGGCCAGGTACATAGTTGATGCTCAATAAATAGCTGTTGACCAAATATCTAACCTTCATTGAGTACTGTCTGTGTACTAACCTCAGCCCTAAGCTCTCCCCACACATCTCATGAATCTCCCCAAGAACTTTATGTAGGGAGATCTTAGTATTATCCCCACTTTAGATGTGGAAGTTGAGACTCAGAGACATGGAGAAAGTGTCAAGGATGGGATTTGGAACCTATGCCATCTGACCCCACATGGCCTTGAATGTCTACTATGTGCCAGGCATTGTGCACAACTTCAAGGCAGATTGAAGTGTTACTCTTTGGGAAAAATAAAATAATCAAATAACAAAGGGAATAAGACAAAAATATAAAATACTCTTGTACCAACACCCTCTGCAAAGTACCAGATGAATATTTTATTTGTCTGCTTGCTTATTTATATGCTTATTTATTTACCTCATTCTATAAATAATTTGAGGCAGCTTACAAGGTATATGTATAATAGAATACAAAAATTATAAATAAAACAATCCAAACCAGAGAAGTACAAATTAAAATTGACACTAAGGGGGGCAGTGGGGGCAGCGAATTAATATGCAGATAAAACAAAACACATGGTCTTACACATGTAACAGTTTTAGCTCTACAATTCCTGGTGGTCAGAGAGAAACAGGAAATGTGAGTTACATGCCTGAGATAAACAAACAAACAAACAATGTTTCTGGGGGAAGTAACGCTTTTTCTGATGCTTGGCTCTAAACGAATTTCTCTTGTGGGATTTTGTAAAAGGCAATTACTTTAAAGTGTTTTTTTAAAAAAATGCTGGGGCCACCCTTATGCGAGAAAATGTGATTGGGTGTCATGAATGTGTAAGGCAGATGAACTCTGAGCAGTTCTGTTGAACTGAAGTGGGGATGGGTGGGACAGGGGTTGGGGGAGCCAGGGGTCAGCTCTTGCTTCTTGCTGACCACTACTCCATCAAGGTGGAGCCTGGTGAGTATCAAGACATGTGGGTGGTGGGTATGGGGGAACAAGATCCAGAAAGTCTTGGATGCTCACTAAGGAGCTATAAGGAAGACAAGTCCTTTACTCAGTCAGCCTGTATTTATTAAGTACTTCCTCTGCATCATGCACTCTGTGGATGCTAAGGGTGCAATTGCAAATAAGACAGACACAATCTCTGCCCTCCCAAAGTTTATAGTCATGCTTAGTGTTAGAGGAATGTTAAACTTGAAGATCTGGCCATGACAGCAGAGTTGGGGGAGAGATCAGGAAAAACTTCCTGGAGGAAGTGATGTTTACTGAAGCGGGAAGCTGGAGGATGAATGAGAATTGGCTGAATGAGAGAGTTCCGGGCAGAGGACTAGCCTGTGCAAAAGCCTGGAGACAGGATACTCGTAGGATATTCAAGGAGCTGTAATACGGGGTCTTTGAGGCAGCTTGTTGCCTATATGACCTTAGGCAACCCCTGTTTCCTCCAGACATCAGTCTCCTTGTCTGTACAATCAAATATGGAGCCTTATCTCTCCCCTAGCTTCCTGCCAACCACAGCTATGAATCAGTGAAGGTTTGTGAAGAAGGTGGAATATCTGTGTAGGTCTTTAAAGGGCATGGATGACGGTGCAGTGCCATGTAGCAATCCAGTGTTCCTTGTGTTCCTTACATGAACAGGATCTTCCCAGAGCCAAGAATAAAACAAGCCCTCTTGAAAAACTGTGTTAACTCTTTAAGATACCACTGGGGAACCACTTGATGCTTGGAAGCAAAAAATATATTACCCTGGCCTCAGGGACCCAAAACTTAATGCAACTTCCTGAATTTCCATGCTCAGTTCCCCCAGGAGGTGAGGCTGACTCAACACTTTTATCCGTCTTCAGCTTCACCCATAACCCCAGGCTGCATTGTGCCCTTGTAGACGTCTAGTAGATATTTATTGATTATAATACAATACTTTTTCCAGGGAATTTTATGTTAACTCGTATAAGTTTGACATAAATGGTATTGCAGATGTCAAGAATATCCAAGAGGCTAGAAAAAATGAAAAAGAAATATTATAGTTACTTGCTCAGGCTCCTTGGTTTTGGATTATCTTCCCATAACCCCTGTCATTTTAAAGGAAAAAAAGGCATGAAGTTGACATTTAAAGTGAGCCTACTTCATGCCAGCAACTGTAACAGGGCCTCTCACGTACACTATCCTTTTTGCTCCTCACCACGGCATAGCAGGGAATATTATCGACGTTTTAAAAGACCCAGATTGTTTTTTCTGAACTTAATTTCCATGTTGGGGACAGCACTTGTGAAGTTCCAAAAGCATGGTGAGAGGTGCTGGGACAGTAGAGTAAATGATCAGAAAGTTATAATTTCTACAAGGTAACCCATTGTATTAGTCTGTTTTCACACTGCTGTAAAGAACTGCCTGAGACTGGGCAATTTATGCAAAAAAGAGGTTTAATTAACTCACAGTTCCACATGGCTGGGGAGGCCTCAGGAAATTTACAGTCTAGGTGGAAGGGGAAACAGGCAAGTCTTACATGGTGGCCGGCAAGAGAGGGCGTGTGAATCGGGAACAGTCAAACCCTTATAAAACCATCACATCATGTGAAAACTCATTCACTATCGTGAGAAAAGCACAGGGGAAACCACCCCCTGTGATCCAATCACCTCCCACCAGGTCTTTCCCTTGACATGTGGGGATTATGGGAATTACAATTCAAAATGAGATTTGGGTGGGGACGCAGAGCAAAACCGTATCACCCATCTACACTATTGAGTTCCAAATGCTTTTTCCAGGTCCAATAGCATTAAAGAGTATAGATAGATAAAGGAAAGCTTCAAAGCTTTCTTGGGCCCTGTACCCTGGGGATTCTACTCCAGTAGGTCTAGGGTGAAGCTCTGCAATTTGTATGTTTTAAAAATGCGTTTGTAATTCTATTGTGCCACAAAATTTGAGAAGCCAGGACTTGGGCCAGTCTGTCAATCATGCAGATCAGGAAAATATAAGTCTTGAACTAGACCTAGAACTCATGACTCTTTTGCCTTCCACTCTAGAATCCTTTATATGACTTCACACAGTTCCAGCATTGTGCACAGATCTATGCCTGCTGCATGTGTTTTGGAGGTTCTTGTGTAAAGACCCAGCTCATTCATGGGATCACACCTCTTAATTATGTCAGGTTGCTGGGGAGGGAGGGGATAGTCTTTTCTGTTTTTGAAATAATAGGGAAAGAGAAAATAGTATTTATGTATCAGATACTGTGCTAGGTGCTTTATATCATCTCATTTAATTCTCATAGTAGCATTCTAAGACAGTTGTTTTCTACAGAGAAAGGGGACTAACCCCGAGGTAAAGTGAATTGTCTAAGATAACATTTTGGGCAAGTCATCTTCTTTTCCAGGCTTTCATGTCTTCATAAACTTTTGTCCTACCATTCATCTACCTATCCACCCACCCAGAAAACCATCACTGATGCCTGCTCCAGGAATGAGAAATATGTTTCATCTTAAGAGTGTTGAGAAGGGGGCCAGGCACAGTGACTCACGCTTGTAATACTAGCACTTTGGGAGGCCAAGGCAGGTGGATCACCTGAGGTCAGGAGTTTGAGACCAGCTTGATCAACATGGGGAAACCCCGTTTCTACTAAAATACAAAAATTAGCCAGGCATGGTGGCACATGCCTATAATCCCAGCTACTTGGGAGGCTGAGGCAAGAGAATCGCTTGAACCCAGGAGGCGGAGGTTGTGGTGAGCCGAGATTGCACCATTGCACTCCAACCTGGGCAACAAGAGGGAAACTCCATCTCAAAAATAAAAAAGAGCCGGGCGCGGTGGCTCAAGCCTGTAATCCCAGCACTTTGGGAGGCCGAGACGGGCGGATCACGAGGTCAGGAGATCGAGACCATCCTGGCGAACACGGTGAAACCCCGTCTCTACTAAAAAATACAAAAAAACTAGCCGGGTGAAGTGGCGGGCGCCTGTAGTCCCAGCTACTTGGGAGGCTGAGGCAGGAGAATGGCGTAAACCCAGGAGGCGGAGCTTGCAGTGAGCTGAGATCCGGCCACTGCACTCCAGCCTGGGCGACAGAGCCAGACTCCATCTCAAAAAAATAAATAAATAAAAAAATAAAAAAGAAAGAGTGTTGAGAAGGATTCTGAGGCTGCATCTAAACTCAGTGGGAAAATGTGATTGATGTGTGATGTCTGTTATAAGCACAAGAATGGATAAAGGCAATATTTAATCTATTTACCCACCATTTGTGACCTCCCAGGATGCCTAGGGAAATAACTTGACTCTCATTTATGTATTCCAACAATGAAAAATGCAATTGGAATGCCAAGGATGACATGGAGGGCTTGGAAAGTTAGAGTGGGTCACCCTCACGTGCTGTCCTTGCTGTCCCCCCAGCTCCGCCAGCGGTTTGAGCTGGAGATCGAGCGGATGAAGCAGATGCACCAGAAGGACCGTGAGGACCAGGAGGAGGAACTGGAGGATGTCCGTCAGTCCTGCCAGAAGCGGGTATGTGAGCAGTGAACACAGCTGTACCGTTGGGTCCTGGAAGGTCTGGTATGGATGCCCTTTTCCTTAGAGTGAGGAGGAGGACAGGGTCTGGGATCTGGGGACAAGCTCTTTCTGCAACCACCTGAGACCTTAGCTTCAAGGTATCTTCAAGGGTGTAGGAGTGGAAATGCCTATCTTAAATAGGATCTTGGAACTTCCAGAAGCCTCTGGAACCATCCAGCATAATGGCTCAGAGATTTCTACTGAGTCCCCGTAACGCCATGTGACTGATGCCAAGGACTTCTAAATTTCAGTAATAGAATCAATTCTTTCTTGCTATTTTCCTTACAAGTCAAACCATTTCTTAACATTTTATCCAAGGTCTTTGTAGCCATTCCAAACAGTGTGCAAAAAAGGAATAACCCCTTGACATGTTATCACCTAGAAGCCATCATTATTACTATTTTAAGTGTTCTTTTATAGCTCTCTTTCACTCTGTATACACACATGCAGATTTGCGGAGATAACCATTTTCACTAAATGAGGTTATGCGGTTCTGAAGCCTGTTGTCTCCGCAGTTTTCATGGTCTCTTTTCATGTCTGTAAATACAGATCTAACTTAAATGTTTAATGGCTTAACAGTTTTTCACCCAAAGCATGTCCTCTAACTTATACAATAAATCCCCTATCATTGGACATTTAGGTTGTTTCCAGTTTTCTGCCCTTATAACCAGTGCCGAGATAAACATTCTTAGAGCTGTATTGACGGATGTGAATGTAGGATCTACAAAATGGAACTGCTGGAAAGCTTCGGGTTAAGCCTCGTTTAACAGGTTCTCACATTATGGAGTAGATACTTTATAATGACCTTCCCTCCCTTCTCATCCCCTGAATCATACCTGTATACAGAGTACGCTCAACTCTGCCTTGCTTGATGTATAGTTTTTGTTGCTTTGTGTATTTTTCAAGATGATTTTAGCTTTTCCAGTCTTTATTCTAAAACAGGTATAGAGTGCCTTGTATTTCTCTCACTCCTAAACGAAATTTTTGAAACAAACTTGCTTTCTATAGAAGTGACCATCAATCAGTACTTTTTCCCCCCCTCCATGGGTCAGGAGATGGAAGCTCTCAGTCCCTGCCCGTGTTTCTTCAGGTGAAGGTTGCATACATTTATGGTTTATTCTAAGAATGCCTCAAAGTATGGTGTGTGCCCTCAGCCAGGGCTCCAATGAGTTGGAGATGTGACCCAGACTCTCCGGAGGCTTTTCTCTGGATAGATTTATAAAAGGAGAGAGTGAAGTAAGAGAAAGGTGTTTTTCTCCTTATGACAAACACTGATATTGACTTCTCATTCTGGTGACTGCTCTGTTCAGTCTATCTCTCACATTGGCAGGAAATCAATAGTTAGTGACCTGGGTGGGAATGCTGGGGCTGTCTGGGGTGGCAGAAAGAGCTGGGGTCAGGAGACGGGACACTAACTCCTCTAAACAGCAACTAATTTCAGAGTATGCACTTTGGATTTTCCCTGGGACTTAGTTTGCCCACCCGTGAAATAGGATCTCTGATGGTATGAGGTGGAAATGGAGGATGGAGGGGATGAGATAAGGTACACAACAGAGGCTGGTGGGGGTGGTCTGCAAAGCGCAGCCACAGTGGGGTATTTGCTTTAGTGGGAAATGTCTGTGTTTGCTGGGTAATTGCTGAGAAATCAGAGCCAGTTGCAAATTAAATGAGTTGCTTATAGTCAGATGTCTTAGTTCAGGCTGCTGTAGCAAAATACCATTGTCTAGGTGGCTTAAATGAAAACATTTATTTATCACAGTTCTGGAGGCTGGCAAATCTGAGATCAAGGTGCTGGCAGGTTCAGTGTCTGGCGAGGGCTCTCTTCCTGGCTTGCAGACCACCACCTCCTGTTTGTAGACTCACATGACGGAGAAAGAGAGAGAGGAAGACAGCTTCCTGGTGTCTCTTCAGGCACTCACCCCACTGTGAAAATTCCGCCTTCATGGCTTCATCTAAACCTAATTACCTCCTTAAGGCCCCACCTCCAGATACCACTGCACTGAGGGTTAGGGTTTCACCATATGAATTTTGGAGAGGGCCATATATAGTTTATAACACCAAAAAACTCAAATGCAACTTCTTTTATTGCATCATTGTGTATTTAATAAAGGAGGGGGATGCATTTTTGATATGTTGGTCGTAATATTGTGCAGAGCCTTTAAAAATCAGAGTGCAAAGACTTGCAAATATTCAACAGTGGCCATGGCTACAGGAGGGAGGCATCTGTTCTACTGGGGACCTGGGGGAGAGGGTTTCAGAGTCAATGGCAAGAGGTTCCCCATCATTGACCAGCCCTCCCTTCTGTTGTCCAGCTCCCAAGCTTTTAGGCTCTTAAGTTCTCCCACAGAGACACCACCTGCCAATCACTAGGGCAGGCTCATGGAACAAAGCCACAAGCTCTACGTTTTTCCTCCTCCTGAGGGTCCTTGCCTTGTGGGGTTTGTCTGGATGGAGTTCATTTACCCTGTGTATGCTTCCGCTCTGTGTATCCACAGCTCCGTCAGCTGGAAATGCAGCTGGAGCAAGAATATGAAGAGAAGCAGATGGTCCTCCATGAGAAGCAAGATTTGGAAGGCTTGATCGGAACCCTCTGTGACCAGGTAAGGGGGAGACATCGGCAGACATTCAGAAGTGTCTCGGACCTATTCGAGAGATGGACTCATGGGGAGAACAGCTTGAGGGATACCCTCTCCTCCATCAGCTCTGTTCCCACCATATTCACTGGCTCTTCAAAGAGAACTTCAGGTGCCTGCAAACAGCAGGGTTTTTGTAAGAACCCATGGGGAATAAACAGAGTGGGTCCAGCCAGGAGCGATGGAGGAGGCTGTCTTTGCCTTCAGCAGCTGTTGGGATCACAGTGTAGACAGTCCTTCCGTTAAGGGGATGTGTGTGAATGGCCACTACACACATGACTGCCCTCCTGAGAACATGACATTTGCTAGAAGCAGTCAGACTCGGAGCCAGGCAAATGTAGCTTTAAGCCTCGGAGGGACCACTTCTGTCTACGCGGCTTTGAGTGAGCTAGTTAACCACTCCGAGCTTCTGGAGAGCGGAGCCTTGTGGGGTTGTGGCTATCACTGTACACCAGGGTTCTCAACCGCCCGTCAGTGTACACCAGGGTCCTCAACTGCACCACTATGAACATTTGGAGCTGGATCATTCCTTGAGGTAGAGGGCTGTCCTGTGCCTTGCAGGATATTGTGCAGCATCCCTGACCTCTGCCCACCACATTGCGGTAGCACACACCTCAGCTGTGACCACCAAAAATGTCTAGACATTGCCCAGTGTCCTTTGGGGAAAAGAAATCAACTTCCCTCACTACTGAGAACTGTTGCTGTACTAATGTAGCCAGCAGAGCTCAGAGCCAGCTTCCGGTTTCAGAGTTGCAAGGAATGGCTCTTCCACCTCCCAGATACTCTATTCCCTTCCTGTGCTGCTGCTACATGAAATCCCAGCACTGGAGAGAAATACCTGTGGCTTCTATGATTTCTTTTAAAGTATCAAAGGAGTGTATTTTAATGTATTTGCTTAACATGGGCCCCATGTCTATTAATTAGTAATGGTCTTGTTATCAATATCCTTCCCTAGATTCACTAACTTTATTCACAAAACAACGTGGGTCCACTTCAGAGGATCATCTTGGGCAGCCATGCCTTGGATAAAATAAATGCTTATTATGTATTGAAAAACAAATTGATTTAGTGAGTGATTTCCACAGCAGGGACATCACAGCAGCAAGAGTAAGAGTTGGAAACTGAGGGAGTCGATATAATCTTCCTTCGTCTCTGGGTTTTCTAATTTTCCAGCCAAGAAATTGGGACCATTGAATTCAGAGTCACTGAGGTGGGTGACTTTCCTTCAGCATCAGGGCAAGAGCACAGCCCAGTACCAGATTCTAGAATGACAGTAGGGAATCACTGGGGGAAGGCTGCATTCTATTCAGCACAGTTTGAGAAAACAGAATAGATAATCTAATAAAGCCAGGTTTTTATACATACTGCAAAAATAAATTTTACATGTAAAGAGAAGGTAAGTTTAGATGAATAAAAAGCCAGCTTTGTGTTAGTCACCAAACTGGATCCTTAAGTGTTTTTGTTATGACCTTTGCCAAACCCATGGAAAAGCAGAACAAATAATGTAATTGGTGTTTATGAACCAAGCAGTCAGGGTTCACATAAATTAACATTTTGCCACTTCTTATTCAGATGTTTTTAAGGAAACAAAACATTTTAAGAACGGTTGGTGGCCTCTTTACGTGCCTTCCTAATCTCACTCCTGGCTCTGCTTTCCTCTTTCTTTCCTCCCTCCCCAGATGAAACCATTCCCTGGGGTTTGAAGTGTATAATTCCCCTGAATGTATATTTCAACTTCAGCCACAGGCAGCAATATGGTTCTGCACTTTACTTTGTCCCCCTCTATATTATGTTTTTGAGATTAGTCCATAATGATACATGCAGCTCTAATTAATTCATTTAACTTCTACACAGCATTCATTTTTTAAAATCTCCTTCTTCTATTGGTGGGTGGTTAGTTACTTTCACCCTAAAACCCAAAACTGCAATGCATAGTCTCATATCTGTCTCACTGTGCACACGGGCGAGGGTCTCTCCAGGGTATGTAGCTGAAAGAGGGATTGCTGGCTCCTGGGAATGTACAATTTGGGAATTATTAAATATCGCTCAGATTGTTCCCCAAAGTGATGGCAGCAGTTTCCACCGTCACTAGACATGTCTTGAGATTTTACTTCTTCACGTCCCCACCAACGTGCGGCACTGTCAGACATTTTTAAACATTTTTTCCAGGCATCGGGTGCTAAATGGTATTGCACGGCCCTCATTGCTAGGGATGCTGTGCATTTTTCACATGTTGGTTGTGGCCTTTTCTTATGTGAATTGCCTATTCATAGAATTTTGTCTCATTTTTCTCTATTGATCGTTCATGACCTTTATACAAGATGCGAATCAATTTTTGGTTATGTATTTTACAAATATCTCCTACACTATGCATAATTGTTTCACTTTGTTTATAATGTCCTTAGCTTAATAAAAAATATTTTTAATATAGTCATGTTAACCATGTTTTATTGTTTGTCGTTTTACATCTTAAGATACTCTTCTTTTTTTATTATTATTATTCTTTAAGTTGTAGGGTACATGTGCACAATGTGCAGGTTTGTTACATTTGTATACATGTGCCATGTTGGTGTGCTGCACCCATTAACTTGTCATTTATATTAGGTATATCTTCTAAGGCTATCCCTCTCCCCTCCCCCCTCCCACAATAGGTCCCGGTGTGTGATGTTCCCCTTCCTGTGTCCAAGTGATCTCATTGTTCAATTCCTACCTATAAGTGAGAACATGTGGTGTTTGGTTTTCTGTTCTTGTGATAGTTTGCTGAGAATGATGGTTTCCAGCTGCATCCATGTCCCTACAAAAGACATGAACTCATCCTTTTTTATGGCTGCATAGTATTCCATGGTGTATATGTGCCCCATTTTCTTGATCCAGTCTGTCACTGATGGACATCTGGGTTGATTCCAAGTCTTTGCTATTGTGAATAGTGCTGCAATAAACATAACGTGTGCATGTGTCTTTATAGCAGCATGATTTATAATCCTTTGGGTATATACCCAGTAATGGGATGCCTGGGTCAAATGGTATTTCTAGTTCTAGATCTTGAGGAATCGCCACACTGTCTTCCACAATGGTTGAACTAGTTTACAGTCCCACCAACAGTGTAAAAGTGTTCCTATTTCTCCACATCCTCTCTAGCACCTGTTGTTTCCTGATTTTTTAATGATTGCCATTCTAACTGGTGTGAGATGGTATCTCATTGTGGTTTTGATTTGCATTTCTCTGATGGCGAGTGATGATGAGCATTTTTTTTCATGTGTCTATTGGCTGTATGAATGTCTCCTTTTGAGAAGTGTCTGTTCATATCCTTTGCCCACTTTTTGATGGGCAAATTTGTTTGAGTTCTTTGTAGGTTCTGGATATTAGCCCTTTGTCAGATGAGTAGATTGCAAAAATTTTCTCCCATTCTGTAGGTTGCCTGTTCACTCTGATGGTAGTTTCTTTTGCTGTGCAGAAGCTCTTTGGTTTAATTAGATCCCATTTGTCAATTTTGGCTTTTGTTGCTGTTGCTTTTGGTGTTTTAGACATGAAGTCCTTGCCCATGCCTATGTCCTGAATGGTATTCCCTAGGTTTTTTTTTAGGGTTTTTATGGTTTTAGGTCTAACATTTAAGTCTCTAATCCATCTTGAATTAATTTTCGTATAAGGAGTAAGGAAAGGATCCAGTTTCAGCTTTCTACTTATGGCTAGCCAATTTTCCCAGCATCATTTATTAAATAGGGAATCCTTTCCCCATTTCTTGTTTTTGTCAGGTTTGTCAAAGATCAGATGGCTGTAGTTGTGTGGTATTGTTTCTGAGGGCTCTGTTCTGTTCCATTGGTCTATATCTCTGTTTTGGTACCAGTACCATGCTGTTTTGGTTACTGTAGCCTTGTAGTATAGTTTGAAGTCAGGTAGTGTGATGCCTCCAGTTTTGTTCTTTTGACTTAGGATTGTCTTGGCAATACAGGGTCTTTTTTGGTTCCATATGAACTTGAAAGCAGTTTTCTCCAATTATGTGAAGGAAGTCATTGGTAGCTTAATGGGGATGGCATTGAATCTATAAATTACCTTGGGCAGTATGACCATTTTCACAATATTGATTCTTCCTATCCGTGAGCATGGTATGTTCTTCCATTTGTTTGTGTCCTCTTTTATTTCACTGAGCAGTGGTTTGTAGTTCTCCTTGAAGAGGTCCTTCACATCCCTTGTAAGTTGGATTCCTAGGTATTTTATTGTCTTTGAAGCTTTGTGAATGGGAGTTCATTCATGATCTGGCTCTCTGTTTGTCTGTTACTGGTGTATAAGAATGCTTGTGATTTCTGCACATTGATTTTGTATCCTGAGACTTTGCTGAAGTTGCTTATCAGCTTAAGGAGATTTTGGGCTGAGACGATGGGGTTTTCTAAATATACAATCATGTCATCTGTAAACAAGAACAATTTGACTTCTTCTTTTCCTAACTGAATCCCCTTTATTTCTTTCTCTTGCCTGATTGCCCTAGCCAGAACTTCCAACACTATGTTGAATAGGAGTGGTGAGAGAGGGCATCCCTGTCTTGTGCCAGTTTTCAAAGGGAATGCTTCCAGTTTTTGCCCATTCAGTATGACATTGGCTGTGGGTTTGTCATAAATAGCTTTTATTATTTTGAGATATGTTCCATCAATACTGAATTTCTTGAGAGTTTTTAGCATGAAGGGCCGTTGAATTTTGTCAAAGGCCTTTTCTGCATCTCTTGAGATAATCATGTGGTTTTTGTCTTTGGTTCTGTTTATATGCTGGATTACGTTTGTTGATTTGCATATGTTGAACCAGCCTTGCATCCCAGGGATGAAGCCCACTTGATCATGGTGGATAAGCTTTTTGATGTGCTGCTGGATTTGGCTTGCCAGTATTTTATTGAGGATTTTTGCATCGATGTTCATCAGGGATATTGGTCTAAAATTCTCTTTTTTTGTTGTGTCTCTGCCAGGCTTTGGTATCAGGAT